TGGGATTAAGACAGTCAATCCACCCCGGCCCACGGCACCGAGAGCGGGCAGGGCCTCACTGCTTTCCCCTGGGCTGCGCCCTGCGACGCCCCTCCCTGCTGTGCTGGCCTCTACGCTGCATGGAGCAGCGCCGGCATCCCTGCCTTCGGCCTGGCCTCCCCTGCGCACAGGCACCTGACTGCTCGGAAGCAGACAGCCCCGCTGGCTGCATCACTGGTGACGACAGGTGTGAGCGGGGACAGCGAGGGAGGAGGAGGAAGGAAAGCAGTGAAGGGAAATGTGGCCAGTTTCATAACTTCGCCTGACCCCACATTTCTCTGTGCAGAGCCTTCCACTCGATGGTCAGGTGACCTCCCGATTCCCCGGCACAATCACCGCGCTGCGGCTCAGTGAGGGCGCCAGAGGCTCACAAGGTCAAAGGCTCGGGGCCCCGGGGACCAATGCCACCAGACCACCTGTGAACACAGCTGGCGTCCTGTAAAAAGTGTGAGAGGATTGCTTTGGCTTGCGCCAGAGCACGCCAGAATGTGAAACCCAGAAAGGGGGATTCTGTTTTTCCCTTTTTATGGAAGAAGCTGTAGAAGAGGAGGAAAAAGGTGAACAGGAAACGTTATCAGGACAAAGATGGAAGCAGTTCCACATCCTCGTGCCAGAAGTTTCTTGTTTTTGTTAAAAGTAAAGTCGCCGCCGCCAATGGGCACGTGTCTATCACGGACTCTGATTCCACCCACCGCCGGCATCGCTGACGGATGCAGCATCAGCTACTCCTCAGCTGGAGCCACTCAACCACACAACCATCTTGACGTTCGGGAAAATGAATCATCAAAATGCTAACTAAGCATGGCATTATTGGCTTCATTAGGCACACAGCAAAGGTGGAGGAGAAAGCAGGCCTCCAGACACAGCCGCCTCCACTCATTCAGGATTGAGGAAGAAACAGCGCTTCCCACACACGCACAAACCCTGGCGATTCCCCTCCTCAGCACCGCTGGTCCCTTTGACAAGAAGCACGCATCAGGGAGGACAGCAACGCCCCTCGCGGGGAAGAACCAGCCTCACGTTTCGATGGGACCCAGTTACCCAGCTGACCCCGGAGCGACACGCACGGAGAGGCCTCTGGCCCTGACCCGGCACCAGGCAGGTGTGGCTTTATCTGGAGAGGGCACACCCCATCTGGGGGACACCTGGAGCGGTGCTGTGCCAGCTCCCGATGGAGGAACTGGTCGGGACCACAGTGCAGCGAGCGCTCCAGCTGCCCCAAGGGAAGTCAGGTCAGGCCAAGCCCCCAGAACGCGGAGCACGGGCCTGGCTCTCAGGTTCACCCTGAGTGTGGCCGTCTCCTTAGAAAACCAGGCCAAGTCCTGGCGTGGCCACCGCAGACACGGTGCTGACTGACGGCCCGGCGTGGCCACCGCGGACACGGTGCTGACTGACGGCCCGGCGTGGCCACCGTGGG